CCGAAAAAAAAATTGTCTCAGATCGACCCGGAAAAAAATTTTTCTTATAGAATGTGGCCTGTAGAATCCATAATTTCAAACAGTTCCAAGATTGGGGCTACTAGTTCAAAAGTTACAGCCCTTTGAATTTTCTTTCGAAATTGGTTTCTAGTCTATAACTTTTGATTGAGAAGTCTGATCGAAAAAGTACGAATTGTTTGGATTCTACGCACCAAAATTAATAAGAAAAAGTGTTTTCCCGAGAAATTTTGGTGTAGTCGATTTTTGGTAAAAAAGGAAGGTTATACACTGCCTTTTTTTGAGCCCCGAAAAAAAAAATTGTCTCAGATCGACCCGGAAAAAAATTTTTCTTATAGAATGTGGCCTGTAGAATCCATAATTTCAAACAGTTCCAAGATTTGGCTACTAGTTCAAAAGTTACAGCCCTTTGAATTTTCTTTCGAAATTGGTTTCTAGTCTATAACTTTTGATTGAGAAGTCTGATCGAAAAAGTACGAATTGTTTTTGATTCTACGCACCAAAATTAATAAGAAAAAGTGTTTTCCCGAGAAATTTTGGTGTAGTCGATTTCTGGTAAAAAAGGAAGGTAAATAACTGCCTTTTTTTGAGCCCCGAAAAAACAATTGTCTCAGATCGAACCGGAAAAAAATTTTCTTATAGAATGTGGCCTGTAGAATCCATAATTTCAAACAGTTCCAAGATTGGGCTACTAGTTCAAAAGTTACAGCCCTTTGAATTTTCTTTCGAAATTGGTTTCTAGTCTATAACTTTTGATTGAGAAGTCTGATCGAAAAAGTACGAATTGTTTTGGATTCTACGCACCAAAATTAATAAGAAAAAGTGTTTTCCCGAGAAATTTTGGTGTAGTCGATTTTTGGTAAAAAAGGAAGGTTATACACTGCCTTTTTTTGAGGCCCGAAAAAAAAATTGTCTCAGATCGACCCGGAAAAAAAATTTTCTTATAGAATGTGGCCTGTAGAATCCATAATGTCAAACAGTTCCAAGATTGGGCTACTAGTTCAAAAGTTACAGCCCTTTGAATTTTTTTTCGAAATTGGTTTCTAGTCTATAACTTTTGAATGAGAAGTCTAATCGAAAAAGTACGAATTGTTTTGGACTTCTCAAAGTATTCAAATACTATGCGAAGTATTCGAATACTAAATATTTGTGAAAGTATTGGGTTACAAAAACAAATACTGCTTCCATAAAAGTATTTAATTACAAAGTATTTGAATACTTTAAAGGATTTGAATACTAAAAAGTATTTACAAAATCGAATATTGCCCAGCTCTGCCTGTGACACGTTCTTTGCAGTACGGAGAAGACCTCATAATCTTTCCTTAACAACTGTCCTGAAGCCTAAACGGTTTGTGAAAGATGGGGTTTCCGAGGGATGGGGAGTATAGAATACCTCCCAGCATCGCGATCGTTCCATTGCACTTTCCGAAACACTACCCTAAAGATACTTAGTGCTATAGAGAAATGGTTAACGAGCTCTTCTTTGACAAGTAGTTTTGCACCCGTCACTTATAATTTTCCGGAAATGGTCATCGACTTTTTCGTTCGTCCGTCTTCCATAGCCAGGGAATTGAGACACAGAAGGCCGTTGACGGTGCTGAGTGCGACCTCGTCAAGGTGGCACTTAACAAGAGCGCCTCTTGCCAGTCGGTGCAAATCATTGGAGAGGATGTGTACTTGTTTATCTCCAAAAAAGCGGCAAAGATGGCTCTGGGCCCTTAAATATTCCTGAAGCTCATTGAATCGGGGGATCGAAGCCCCCCCCCCCCCCGCCTCCAGGATTCGAATTGCTTTTCCACTCCTTCACTGGGTGCGACACCACCCCTGCTCCCGTCTGGAATGGGAAGAACAAATTGTGACGCGTCATTCAACAAAACCACAGCTGAAATGTTCCTCCAACCTAATTCAGCCTACCAATCCATCGCAGATGCCGGAACGATGTTCCTAGTAGCTCTGAATTGGAGGAGAGTGCCCTGGCGATAGCCTCAACAGCCTACGATACAAAGAATTTGAAAAAACAGCCAACTTTGCTAAGGTTGACCTCTAACGGAAGATTGTGCAACATTGCACGCTTACCGCACTTACCACCAAGCTCAGAAGTGGTCGGGGGTGGAAAAACATGCCACCCAATGAGGATGAAAGAAGACCGAACAGGGGCTCGTTCTAACAACAATGAGCGAAGTGCCCCCCCCTCCTTTCCGCCAGCCTTCTAAAATTTATATCACGCAGGTGCAAGAAAGGCTGTAGCGGATGCAGCTGGTGGCCTACAAACGTCATTATGTGCTAATTAAATTTGCTACATCTTTCTCTGTCATTTCCCCCGCAAAATGAGTATTTTCGGGGTCGAATTTTGAGCAAACCAGCAAAAATAATTTTTTATCTCGGAAAGTATCGGACTTACATAGTTGGTTCAGGTCCCAAATTATAGTAAATCTACTTTAAAGACGTATTTACATTTTATAACATTATTATTTGTAATAGGACTAATTAATTAATTCTGATCATTGCATATAAGATTGCAAAAGGTGATGCCTCTAATTGAATTACTTGTTTTCCATGGTATCAATCCTCTTGCCTCTCGCCGTATTTCTCTTCGGCTTCCTCACACGACAGCTCTTCCTCGCCCACCATGCAGTGGTACTCACCATTCGACCCCCACATTCCTTCACCAATTTTGCATTCGCAGGGCGGTTGCTCTTCACTCTTATCGTTTCCACAGGACTCGGCGTGGTGCAAAACTACGACAGCAATCACGAGTAGAAGCAGAACGGTCTTCATCTTCCCAAAATTCTTTTCAGTTTCGAAACGCTCGACTCTCTCGCAACTTCCGCAAACTCTAATCGCTTCCACTCTTACAATCTTTTTATACATCCCACTGGGCTCAATTTGCCTAAACAATTATTGTTTAATTTGGATTCCCACAGTCATTAATAAATAATTCACGCAGAACTTAATCAAATTTTAATTCGATATTATTTTCAAATTCCACAATATGGTATCTACGACAGATACCTGTCTATTAATTACACTTAATTAGGGGTTTTAATAATATTAATAATTAACATTTAATTTCAGCTCAAGATTACATTATTGCGTCAAATTACAGAAGCTGATACTGTTTCAAGCTTAATTTGGATTTTACTTCGGTTGCGCTTGTTGTTGGGCCTTCTCCGCCTCCTCGCAGGATAACTCCTTGTCGTCCTTCTTGCACACGTACTTGCACTTATTTGCCTCGGTCTTCCACATTCCCACCCCCGTTTTGCAGGTGCACGGCGGGGTTTGGTCCTCGCAGCCGGCGGTAACGTTGTGCAGAATTACCAGCGCGATGACGAAGAGTAGTGCAGCTTTCATGGTTGTAGCGATCTGGTTGGGAGTGTCGCAAGGATCAGCCTGTGGTCCACTTTAAAAAACAACAACAAAGTTAATACTCACCGGTTGCAGTGGATAAATCACGTCTTGTAGTCGACTAAATTTGCTACAGATGTGCTCGCATTATATATTTTTTCAACAGGATGTTTACCAACAGACATAATTGTCCCTTTTGATCGTATTTATTTGGGAATTTTCCTTACGCTCTGGAAATATTTCTAACTTGTTCCGGGTGACGAATCTAATTATTTTATTGATAGTGGTAAACACTCGTTCGGTCTGTGCAACTTAAAGGAAGCGTTTAATAAATCTTCATTAATTAAGCGCCTAATTAATTGAAATGATGAATTGGGGCATAATCGATATATCTAAGAGCAATAAGTATTAAATAATTAATAGTTTCGAAAATGTCGCCGATTTCATCGTCAAATCTGCAATTAATTGCAATATTGTGTAAGTACGCTATAAATTATGTCATCTGCGCCCGATTATCCACTTCATTGCCAATTAGAGCCTTCGTTTCTATCCAATAGTAAACAATACTTAATTAGCGTTTCAATAAAATGTTGAATTGTAATTATTTAGCTAATTACATAATGATAATTAATGTGTGACTCACTCAATTTAATAAATTAAGTACGTTCTACATAATCATTATCGACCAATTAGTACTAAGTGCAAAATCAGCATTCTACATACGGCAAAAATCTAGCTAATTGCTCGGTTCTTACGTCCTTGGTGAATTTCACAATAAAGTGACGCTAAACGCTAAACTAGTAATTATTAACTATAACCGACAGTAATTGGCAAAACGTTGACTTTTTAAATACAACGCACGAATGTAATTGATAAAATTAATGATTTTTGTTAATTAATTGGCATACCTATCCTACAATTAACACAATATAGTCATTATCGCACCATTCCGGAAGAGAAGGCTAAAAATACACACTGATGTACTTAATTAATAATTATTAACCAATTAGCAGCAAACGGGGAGACAGTAACGATCAGGCACATTATATCGATAACTATTTAATTGATTTTTATAATTTTTATACCTAACCCAAATCATTAAATCGAAATCTGATCAAATTAACGACAATTCAAATCAAGTTCAGATTATCAACTTTCAAATTTAAATAATTAATTATTATTTATGTAATTGCCTTCAATTTACTAGTCCAACACTAACCTTATTAGTAAAAATGAACAATTGAGGAAATGGAATTGGTAGTAGTATAATGCAGTTATGTAATTTTGATTTGCAATGTTACCTAATTAGAAAGAATTGAGAATTACAAAATTGGAATTGCTGGGAACTTAATGTACTAATAATATATTATTATGATTTGCAGTTTATAGATAACACTTTTTAATTGATTGGTGATAATCAATTATCTATTTACTTAATCTCAATTAATTAATCGTTGAAAATAAATGTTTGGCCCAATTTAATTAGTGACAATAAACAATTGAGAAATTTGAATTGACAGCAATTTAATATAATTATAATGCATCTATTATTTTTATTCAATCAGGGTCGCTTCCGCACTTACATTATTTGTCGTAATTACCATTAAGGGCTTCATACTCTTTGGCGGTTAATTACAGTCATTAATTAGGCAATAAATCGGTGAGTACCAACGAAGTGTTTATGTAATAATTTCACACAAATTAACCGAATTGTACGTTGGGTGTGTTGTTCGCATCACTAAATCTAATTAAATTTGACAAAATTAGTGATAATTGCAGCAAAAAGATTTGCCCAAACATTTTTTTTAATTTTGACATACGACGAATTCCCAAATTTCGTTAATTATCAATCTAATTACGAAGATCGTTCCACTCCTTTAACTAAACAGATCTAATTAGCATTAAGAAGAGATGAATTGTAATTCCTGCCTTGGCAACCCGGGCGGTGATGCTTCTTGCAGTTGCCTCTGTGTTGCCTGGTGTTTTGTGGTGGTTTTACTCAGTTTTACCTCAGGTTTGGCAGGGTTACTAACCCTAACCTTAGAGAGGAAAACCCATAACTGAGCTCCTCCCTCCCCCCTGGCGATTCGGTTAGCCTGGTCCTTTTCGTCAATGCCCAAAAATATCAGCCTTCTTCACGATTGTGTGGAAGAGACACCGGGTCGGGCCTGTCGTTATATGACCCCTTGATCGCTGAACCTCTTCAGCTCCACAACCACGACAAGGCCCAAGTGAGGGAGTAATTACTGGCTCTCAATAATTGATAACTGAAAATTAACTTAAAAATAATTAATTAATTATAAGGTAATTTACCAGGTACCTAATGAAATTGAGCCTAATTAGGTCTTACTAAACCACACAAAAACAGGTTAGGCAGAGTCAGGCGATTGGCTGTACGTCACCAAATGCTGGTCAAACGCAAGTCTAATTAGCGATTAATTATTAATTAATTGATTAATTGATCTTAATTAATTACCCGAATAGTTAGGTATCGGCAACAATAAATTATCTTACGACTATTTTAGTGTAATAAGATTAAGCCGATTTAATTGATTCACTCCCCAATTAGTAGTAATCTAAAGCGTTGGAAGTTGGAAATTATAACGAGGCAAATGCACTATAACATTTTCAAGCTCAATTGCGTTGATTATCAAACTAATTACGAAAATTGTAGTACGTAATTAGCCAGTACGAAAGCTAAACTGTAATTTTCGATAATAACCAATAAATTACTGCACTAACTGTTCTTCACCTAATCCTATTGCAACCTGAATGTAAAATGCATGGCACTTAGCGAATTTCCTTAGACGTAAATTAAGAAAATTGCCTTTTTTCGCTTTAATTTAATTAGCTTTGTCAATTAGTGTGTTCTGCACGTCTCTGTGATAGCAGCACCTCGATTTTTAAATACTTTAATGGTTGACGCCTCTTTCAGACAATAAAAAATGCAACGCCCGAGAGGAAATTTCTTATTAACCGAAGAATCAATAACCAACAACGGAGGAGACCAATTGTGGAGGCTGTGAAGACGTCCCTATCGTAGTGTGTGCGTCGTTTTGTGTGTCAATTAAATGGCGTGTGTTCAGTGAGAGTGCTTTTTGTGTCGCGCGTTCCAGGTATTTCGGAAGAGCCCGTCTTTTAAAAAAAAAAGAATCCCAAGGTATACACAGTAATGGGGAGAATGTATGTTGTATTAATGTTGCCTGATATTGTCGCTCCCCACTCAACTTCTTGTGCTAACATGTGTAAGTAGCCTCTAATCTAGAACTCTTATTACTAATTTAATTTATTAGAAGATCTAGTTTGTTTAACTGTTCGTTTGCGAGGAGGAAAAATCCCTCAAGGTCTGCCATTTTAACAATCAACGCACGCCGCGAAAGTTATTACCTTATTAGCTTAAGTAAATAATTGGCGTTATACCAGGTACACAATATTTGACTTGCTAATTAATCTAATTAAATCGCAGATTTGAATGACAAAATCGTAATGTGACTTATTGGCAAAGTAGAAAAACAAATTAGTTACCCAAGTACACTATACATTTTACTGCAAAGTTTAATAATTGCGAAATTTGCATACCGATTAATTATTCTCTCAGCCACTACATTAATTTATGATCTAACTTAATGGTCCCGAGAAGCGTTTGGCAATTTTTTATTCTAACGCGCCGAAAAAATTAAGTGCGATAATAACTAATTCCTAATTGGCAAGGCTGAATTGACTGATTAATATAAATTTCACGGTCTTTATGAATTCGTGAGTACCATAATTTATAATTGCTACAACGAAGACAGAGCCAATTAATTACAGAGTTCTAAATCCTCGTCCAAATTCAATACTCTAAAATTACTGTACCTCCAAAGTCTAGGCCAAAATTACGATTTTCTATCTAAGTATTTTTCACAATTTTCTTTATTCCGAGTCATTTGGAAAAGTGACGTAAATCTCTCTTCGAAGAAGACTATCGTAAAAGAAAGTCACTTTCAACTTTCGCGGTTTCATAACGATTATTCTCAGGTACTCTTTTGGGGCCGAACTCTCTTGTAAGTGCCTGAATTTATTGGCAGTCTCAAATTTGTCCCTTTGGTCGAATTTCAAGGAATTGGTATTCAGTGAGCCCATTTTCCCAGGGTAAACTCAGGTGAGGATTTGGGAGCCAAATTCTTTCAAGGGATAGATGAATATATACCTACTGTAGTATATATTATAGTATACATATTCCAAGGGGAGTGTTCTTAAGTATACTGGCAAGCTCAAGCTCAACTTTTCACTTGGGGGTATTCCAAAGCCCCCTTCCTCCATGAAAACCACCCCCGGTAGTACTTTATTCATCAAAACCGCTTTGTAGTTCAATGGTAGAGCGTTGGGCTGTAAAGCCGGAGGTCGAGTGTTCGAACCTGGGCTGAGGTAAGAGTTTTTCATCTGTGACAGAGATGGGAATTTCCTTAAAGCTACCTATTCTACGCACCCAAATTAATAAGAAAAAATGTTTTCCAGAGAAATCTTGGTGTAGTCGATTTTTGGTAAAAAAGGAAGGTTATACACTACCTTTTTTTGGGCCCCGAAAAGAAAATTGTCTCAGATCGATCCGGAAAAAAATTCTCTTATAGAATGTGGCCTGTAGAATCCATAATTTCAAACAGTTCCAAGATTGGGCTACTAGTTCAAAAGTTACAGCCCTTTGAATTTTTTTCTAGTCTATAACTTTTGATTGAGAAGTCTAATCGAAAAAGTACGAATTGTTTTGGATTCTACGCACCAAAATTAATAAAAAAAAGTGTTTTCCCGAGAAATTTTGGTGCAGTCGATTTTTGGTAAAAAAGGAAGGTTATACACTGCCTTTTTTTGAGCTCCGAAAAAAAAATTGTGTCAGATCGACCGGGAAGAAAAATTTTCTTATAGAATGTGCTCTGTAGAATCCATAATTTCAAACAGTTCGCAGATTGGGCTACTAGTTCAAAAGTTACAGCCCTTTCAATTTTCCTTCGAAATTGGTTTCTAGTCTATAACTTTTGATTGAGAAGTCTAATCGAAAAAGTACGAATTGTTTTGGATTCTACGCACCAAAATTAATAAGAAAATGTGTTTTCCCGAGAAATTTTGGTGTAGTCGATTTTTGGTAAAAAAGGAAGGTTATACACTGCCTTTTTTTGAGCCCCGAAAAAAAAATTGTCTCAAATCGCCCCTGAA